TAAACGATACCCATCCCTACATGAGACGCTCTGCTAGGCCTTCACTGCAGCCACCTTCAGTGCTGCTTGTTTGTTGGGTTTTCTGTTTTCAGCTTTGTATGTTGTTACTCTTTGGGGTTGATTGCAGGTATTGGGTTTGCAGTATGGTACTTATGCTACGTCTATCATCAGTCAAATCATTAGTAAGCTCTATTAGCTTTGTTCCACTGGCAGCCATACATGCTGTATCAATTTCTGCACCATGTTTGACAGATGATGTGGTGTGCTTCGGCTTATAATCTAGTTTTCTCCTCCTCCACACTTTTTCCATCATTCTGGCACGAGATAATCCTTTCTCCCTTTTTCACATCTGTACTGGCTCTTTTAGATGTTTGCTGGAAGTCTGCTCTAGTCTTCTTGTTCTTGAATGTACAGCTTGTTGTACTTTCACTGATGAAGGTGTCTTTCGAGTGTAACCAGTGACGATGATGCACCTATCTCCTCGAGACCCCCTTGACTTGGTAAGATGTTATGAAGCGCTTTTGTTAACCATGGAAACTGTGATCGTTCACTTTAGTCATCCTCTGTGGTCTTTCGCACCTTTTGAAGTTGCTGAGCTGACCAGTTCATTCCTTCTTTTTAAGTTTATTTGGTTCTTCGGGTTAAAGATGGTCTCCCTCACTTACACAGACATGTCTTTGGACCTAATATTGAGAGTTCCAGTAAACAGCTACCAAATACAAGTTCAACACTCCAGTTTTTTTTAAATCTGGTTAATCTGTTATGAATGAACAGCCTGTCAGTTACTTGGACAATTCAATTTGAGAAAATGGGAGACTATGAATAAAAATATTAACAACTTACTTTGATTGAACGCCTTAGACTAAAGCTGAAAGCCTTAAATTTCAAACCCACTGTGGTGCAACCATCAACAGTTGTGTTGTTGTCATCTGGACCATGTTCGTGCTGTTCATAATCAGCCAAGCTTCTAATGTGAAAAACTTTCATTAGGGTGTCATAATTAGCTGCTGGAACACGGGAGTGATGGGTGCTGAAAGACTTCTGTATGATAATAAACTTTATTCCTTTAAAAGTCTTAAAAGATTTATGATGTGTAGGTTCATTAATCAGAAATTGCCGTTTACAACATTTCTGCTCAGTTTCATGTTTGAAGTCTACATCCACTTCCATTTTCTTCAGGCTTGTGGCCTTTTCCAGTTTAAATGTTATCTTTAATTCAGGGTCATTTTCTCCGTTCTGGGACTTTTTTTGGAACTCTCTGTATTTTCCGGCATGACAAACCCAAAACCATTTGGCACCATCAGCGTCTTAAATAAACCATAGAGTTTTTAACCCATCACTGTGACTCAGGTCTGACATGAAGGTAAAGCGTTTTCTCCAGACCTTATTCTTTGAATGCTGACCTTTGGCTGAACAGTTTCTCAGCAGCAGAGTGTGGTCAGTACAAACCTTGTGCTTAATAAGAATTATGAGCAGTGACACAATTATATATTAGCACAAACTCCAAACCCTGCCATACTGTGCATTGTGGGCTCATTATAAAATAGCCAACTGGTCTAGGCCACTTGTTTTGACAGAAAGAGGTACACCACAGCACTGGCACATGTCCTTATGTGTGGCGTCCACCAAGACTAAGTACTTATGACAGTGCCAAGAGAGAGTGTGTGTGTGTGTGTGTCTGCCTGTGTGCACACACATTAAGGTCAGGGGGGTGGGGGGGGAGCATGCTGCCTAAGGTGGGAGAGAAACATTGAATCCAAAGTGGCAACTAGCCAGCGTCAGTGTTCCCTTCTTGGAGAATTAGCCTGTCAATCTGGTTTAATTCCTTAGGACACAGGCTGCTCTTAAACCCAGGTTGAGCTTAAACTGGAGAGACTGACTCTCTACATCGTTTTCTCAAGATTGGGTGCAGACAAGCGGGCTGGCTGAATGTGGGCCGTGTCGGGCCGCACCAGAGAGCAGAGCTGCATCGTGCACACAGCTCCACGGCAGGGTCAAGCTGGCACTTACGGGCTAAGGTTACAAGTTTCACTCAGTTGAGTGATTATGTGACTCTAGGTGAGTATCTAGAACAACAAGGATAGTTACCTATCTGGATTATGGGTGTAGCACACACACTACTTGGGTATCTTCACATTAAAGTGGGGGCGATCGTGGCTCAAGAGTTGAGAGTTGGCCTTGTAATCGGAAGGTTGCCGGTTCGAGCCCCGGCTTGGACAGTCTCAGTCATTGGGCAAGACACTTCACCCGTTGCCTACTGATGGTGGTCAGAGGGTCCGGTGGCGCCAGTGTCTGGCAGCCTCGCCTCTGTCAGTGCGCCCCAGGGCAGCTGTGGCTACAATGTAGCTTGCCATCACCTGTGTGTGAATGTGTGTGTGAATGGGTGGATGACTGGTTGTGTAAAGCGCTTTGGGGTCCTTAGGGACTAGTAAAGCGCTATACAAATACAG